CTTCCTGCTTCAGTCTCCTAGGTGCTGGGATTACAGGCATGGGCTACCACACCCATTAAAGCCCACTTTCCTAACCCTAGGATATGTATAGTTGTAATTTAGTAGGATTTCCATTTGAAATTTCTTCTCTTTTCTTTCTTTCTTTCTTTCTTTCTTTTTTTGTAGAACCAAGGATTGAACTCAGGCCCTTGAGCTTGCCAGGGAAGCATTTATTCCACTGAGCCATTTCCCCAGCCCCTGAATTTTCTACTGAACCACACTTTCAGAATCAGAACTTTCCATTTTCATCATAATTAGATTTTTTTTTCCTTGGGAACCATTCTTTTTCAATTGTTCTTCTCATAACCTACGGATTTTTTACCTTTTATAAACTTGGAGATTTCTTGGACATTTTCTTCTAAATATACTTTCCAGTAGAGTCCACTAGGTTTTGGTGGTTTTTTGTTTTTGTTTTTTTTACTTAAAAACAAACAAACAAACAAACAAACAAACCAAAATCCCTGTTCTATGTTCTGATTACTTTTCATATCATCTTTCTGCTCTCAATAAGAATACTGCTTAGAATTTTCTTCCTCTTGTATTAACTCTGTTTTGTAGGGTATAGTCCATTTTAAAGCTTGGACTAATTTTCAGGTGTCTAATGTGTTTATTGAACTGCAGCTTGTTACTGCTGAGCCATGGCTATCTGAGCAATTATTAGTTTTCAGTTTTTCTAATGGGGGTTCTAACCAATGAGGAGCAAACTGTAAGCTGTCCAGATCCGTCACCCCTTCTTCCTTTGTCCTTCCATAACAACACCTACAGGTACAAGCATGGCAGCCCAGTTGGGCTACACTTCTGAGTGTTTAGTAGGCAGATGTAACAGGGTGACAAAGGTCTTTTTTCTTTTTAAGACAGGGTCTCCTTACGAACTCACTTGTTTAGCTCAGGCTGGCCTTGAACTCAAGTGATCCTCCTGCCTCGGCCTCCTGAATTCTGAGATTATAGGTGTGCACCACCACACCTGGCTAGTGATCAAGGTCTTGCCAATGAAATTATAATAAAGGATATGTGGCACCTTCAAGTATGAATCTTAAGATATTTTGGATGTAGTTCTTTGCCCTGTTTGCAGTGAGTCCTAAATGACAATGATCTTGCTTCACAAGTGGTGCAACAAGATGGAGGGAAAATGAGACCCAAGTGGCCACATAGAGCAAAACCCCCCAGTGCTCTGGACAGTGAACAGAGAAACTACCTAAAAGTCTCTGTGCCACTGAGTTTGTGACAGCAGCTTGTTCTTCACCTCAGTGAATTCCACCCTTCAGACCTCAACCTCTGACTACACCAGGCTTCGCGGATTCTCAGGAGATGAAAATCCCACGCTGACACCCCACCAATCAAAGCCTCAGCTGAGGGACTCTGCATACTTTCTCTGCATCTGAGGTTCTTTTCCCCCTTCTAAGACTATTCCCAAAATGATTATGGAGGTAAAATGTGGTGGTCTCCTGGGCTGTGGGTTTTCTCTTCCTACCCAGCCTCCTGAGGTAGTCTTCAGTGAATAAACACACTTGCAGTGTGGGTGTAATATATAAATTTAAAAAATTGAACTTTGCCATAATAACTCCATAAAACAGTGAAGTCAGCACTGTACCCTTTTCAGACTTTGAGTCATTTTAGGAACTATCTTCCAGACTGTGCTTCATATCCAAAAATGTAGGGCATGTTGACTGATGGTGACAGGTTGGAATCTAGGAGATAATAAGAGGAGACTGAACTGGGTGTTCATTTTACCAATTTAAAAAAATGGTAGAAAACCATCTTTACCCCTGATAATATGCCACAGAAAGTGGTAAAAAGTAGGAATC